TATATATACACTGTGCATATATTCTTACAGTCAGTGTTTGCAGATACCCTGCAGTTTGTGGAGCAATAATTAACACAGACACCTTCTTATCTGCTCAGAACACCCACTAATCCTTGATTCACAATGAACCCTCAGGACACGGTTATGCAACAAGAACTAAGTCTGTGACGAAGACGATTTCTGGGATGTGTTCAGGATGATACCATAGGTTGCCATGAGACTAAAACTCCTGAGATTTTTTTTTCCTTTTTGGTTGCCATGAAACTAGAACTTATAAAACAGAATTATTACAAAACGGAAAGTTTTACTGAGGTCTTGAGGTGTTTTTACACTCTAAATAAGTTTCAGCTTAGAGCTGTTTTTAGATTGAGGACACTAAAGTGAGGTGACACAAATAGGGGTTATTTTTGGCAACTTGTCTTTGTTTCAGCTCTTGCATTTGGGACAATATACTGAAATGAGAGCACAGACGAGTTAACGATAAGAATGTGAAATAGGAACCATCTCAGTTTAATTTTCAGGCTGTTTGGGATCATTTTATTATGAAACAGGGATATGAATTCATTCAAAAAACGCTAAGCCATTGTTAATTTATAGCTCTGTGAAAAATAACACTCTATAAATTATTAAACATGCTTAGGCTGCAATAATATGAGACTTTCAGTCAGATCATTGATGAATGTGTGAATGACAACATGGATTTGCATTGATGGGAGTTTCCTCTTGTTTTTTTTTTWTTTTTTTTTATGAATAAGCCACGTGGGCCGGAAGATCCCTTCCTGTGATTGGCTGAAATCTGCTGCAGTCTCAGAACTGACTGAGGCTCTCTGGCTCTGCCTCTCCTTGTCTTTTCAGGGACACACAATATCTATTTACAGAGCAAAGACTGAGCAAGGCAGACAGAAAACAGGCATGAAAGTAAGACGCATGTGACCCCAAAAAAAGAAGAGATGGGGGGATGTTTCAAGGATAGAGGTAACGGCTAAAAAAGATTAAAGAGGTTGAATGAGATTAGAGATGGTCTTTGTTTCATTTAGTTTCTGGTTTCTAATTTCAGACTTATGAAAAAAGCAGCAGCAAACCTTTGTTTTGTTGATGTGATTTATAATCATGATTAAATGCCTAGAATTACTTGAAAGACTGCATATTACCCACCGCCATTTATGCTGATTTAAAACCTGATTTTAAATCATTTGCTGTTTAAAAAGGATGTGTTGGAGTCTATTTGGTCAAACCCCAGAAATACTGTACTCTTAAACAATATCACAACAAGTCTAGCTGAAAACATTTTTGAATGACTCTCAGCTACAAATCTTAGCTCAATATCTGCCAAATTGATAGAATAATGTGTAATGTTTGWGTGTTTGAAGGTAAAAGGTTCTGACACACAGACAAAAACAAAATCAGCAACAGGAAAAAAGATTGCTGATAAATCCCTTTAATGCTATGCCCCCCTTTAATGATTATAATATATCTTTAGAAACTCTCATTGAGTAGCAATGACACATCAGTAATAATGTATGATGTATTATAATGTATGATTTCTGATCAATGGGGGGAATAGTTTGGGAATCTATAAGCTTCAAGGTAGAATCCTGTATCAGCATTACATAACGGGATGATTTTACCATAGAGATGGATTTATTTTCTCTCTCTCTCTCTTAGGATTCAGCTCAGGTCTCCAGCCTTTGTGTCTGCCAGCCAGCTCTCTGCGTTCCTCTCCAGTGTGTCTCTATAGTAACGGGTAGGTAAGTGAATGAGAGCTGTGTGGGACTGAGCGTGGGCTCAACCACTGCGCCGCGCACAAACACTGCTGGGATCGATGGGCGGCGTGCACGCAGTGTCTGTCACTGCAGGCATGTCCCCGACTCCTCCACACTCAGACACTTTGTCGTTTCTTCAGTCCGCCTGTGTGTCAGAACTCCGGCTGTTATCAGAATAAAAACAAGACCAAATACTTAATGACTCAGGGTACTAGTACACACATTTTTTTTTTCACAGTGAATCATTTGACATGGTTTTGCCCATGTCTTTTGTGTGTGTGTGACATGTGTTCATCTGTTTATCTTTAAAAATGTGCATTTATCTGAACCAATGAGTGATTTTAATGAAACTCTCAGAACTAAACTAAATTAATTCAAGATGGCTACCACGACTAATCAAATACAAAGATTTAGTCAGCTTTACAGAAACCAAACTACAATTTACTGTGGTAAAAACTGACATCCTCAGGATTTAATTTATTGGGTTTTTTTGTTTGTTTGTTTTGTTTTAGGGTTTTTTTTTTTTTTTTTTTTTACAAAAAGAAAGGAAATTTGTGTTTTGTAGATAATTTGTGTGAAAGCTTCACAGCATTCACACTATGATCATTTTTTCTTCCATTCGTTTTTCGGCATCTAACTTGTTCTACATTTTTTTTTGCGCTACTTGAACAATTCATATATCAAAACTGTTCAGCTCATTTATAACAATCCTGCTATGACTTTTGGTATTTCAGCTATTTTTACTTTTTCAGATATTTCACTCTTTTAGCCACTTTTTTTGCCATTGAAAATGAATGGATCTGTTTTCAACATGTTTAAAATCCTTTAAAATGTTTCAAAATCTTTACAGAACCTTAACATTTTGTTCTGGTTCTGCTCCTTTTAGGTACCATGTGCTAATTATAGCTACTTTTTTATTTTATTATAATTTTGTTTGCTAATTTTAGCTTTTTCTGTTATGTCTGCTATAATTCTGCTTTTGTCTGCTATTATTTTGCTAATTTCTGCTTTTTGTGCTTCTTTAATTTGAGCTATTTGATTCTTACAGTTGCTTTCTCCATTTACAGCTATTTTAGCTTTTTTCTACTATTTTGCTAATTTTTTCTGCAAAGTTGTTTTACCCCTCTTTCAGCTTTTTAAAATGAACTCACAATAACACTAGTGCCATTAAATATTTCCAGCTTTATTTCAGCCGCTTTGAGCTTAATTTTTTAGCAGGAAGCATTCACACTAGMATTTTCGCAGGAAATGCAATTTCTCTAGTTCCCTGTGGTATTAGTGTTTCTTGGCAAAAAATCCTATATTGTTTGAAAGCCTGTTAATATCCCTTTTAAACTGTGCCACATTTATAAGGAACATGCATTTGTGATATGAGCAGTAGAGCTGAGTATTTTGGGTTGTCCACATGAAAAAAAATTGTCAAATCACCCTTCTCAAACAGCTTTTTTTTGGTGTTGCTTTTAACTCTTGTTTTGAGCTTCTGGGACCCTCAGGTGCTGGCAATTGGGTGCATAAAGTATTTACTGCCAAGAAACATTGTTACAACAAACCATCTACCAAACACATTTTTTTATTTCTGTGCTAAGTAAATTTACTGAGAGATCTCGTCATCATCTTGTTAATTATTGCATGACACAGGAAGTTACTAAATTTTGCTAAAACCTCTGTATCAGTTTGAAAAGTGATGAAAATAGATATTTAAAAAATTAGTAGGTATTTTATTATAAACTGCAAAACAACTTTCATACATGTATCAAAATGATCATCCATGCTTGTTTGCTCACTTTAAATACTTTGTGTTTGGAAATCTGGTTGAACATTTCTCTTGTTTGTTGTGACGCATGATGCAAGCTAMTAATTTTCAAAACGTGTTTGAAAATCTCAATTTCTTGTTGGTATTAAATGGTGTTTCACCTTAAAGGTTCTGTGACATGCATACTCCTCAGTTACAAAAAATCAAAGAAAACATCTTTATATTTAAAAAACTTGGAATAATACACACAATTTTACCCATTTTGTCACATAACTGGTATGATTTATTTTGAACTTGGCTCAGCCAAAGTGAAACAGGAAGTGACATCACAGGGGAAATTTTTAACAAAGAAAACTCCTTGGTCTTTATTTACTGAAACAATATTATTTGAATTCTGACTCTTGTTTATTTCTCTCTTATAGTGACTTGAAATAACTTTAAAGGGGCAATATCATGTAAAATCAACTTTTTTGAGTTTTATATCATGTCATAATGTTATGCTCTCATAAAAAAACATGCCCAAAGCCTTGCTTTGACTCATTCATGCATGTTTGAGAAATCCTGCAGTGTTTTTAGGAAGCCATGCTGAGGAGCAAAACAACAGGTGGGGACCAGAAACGCCCCCTGGGACATGTCTTTAAGCCGAACTTCCTCATGGCAGAGCACCCCCCCCCCTCCCCACACACCCTGCCCATGACTCCTGCAGGCAATAACAAAGCAAAAAACTATGGGTGAAACTGAAACTGTCTGCTGAGCTCCTAAACACTATTTCTCACTCACTGAAATGGTCGGGACAGAAGCGGAAGGTGGCATTTAGAAGAGGAAGTGATGAGAAGATAAGTTTATTGTCTGTTTAAACATAAAAACAGCATTTTAATAACAAATAAAGGTGACAAAGACACTTTATGATGGTACAGTATTTAAATATATGCCTGAGAAACACATAATATTGGCCCTTTAAGAAACATCAGATTGTTCTCCACAGTCTGTGTTTTTAGCTGTTGTAGCACTGATCTGTTCACATTCAGACATATAGGGGTTTTGACATCACTTCCTGTTACTTCACATGCAAATATCTCAACTGTTCATCTCAGTGAAATGAAATTTTTTTCGCAGTATTTTATCAATGTAATCTTTCCAAAAATGCATTCATATGTATAACAAAAAATTGACGTCACGGGTACTTTAAGCAAAGCAAGGATGTGAATTCTTTAGCCAAAATTATGTAACTTTTTTTGTCTGAAACCTTTATGTGGCAGCGAGAAAATAAAAAATGAATYATCTGACATTCAGCCTTGAGATTTTTTATTTTATTTTTCTTTAATTCCTCCTAGGGTTTTTGCAGCAACTCAGAAGACCTGAAAATATAAAACATGGTTATATAACAGGCTGCTGGAACAAGACAAGGCTAAAAAAGGACTAGGAGAAGGAGTGGAGTCAATGCATTAAAGGTGCCAGAATCTTGACTCTTGCTAGAAGCGCGTCCACATTTCAACATCGTTTTAATGTAAGTATTAGCAGTTTTGTCCCTTTTTTAAAAAAAAAAAAGCTTCAATATTCCATCCGTTGGTGAAATTAATGTTCTGTTACATAATGTCTGAAGTCCAACATTTTTAGTAATGATTCAACAAGGAAATGAAGCCCACCTGAGGCTCTGCCCTCACATTAATCATTTATTGAACCATTAATACAGACAAATGAGGTTTTTTTTCTTTTTTTCACATTGAGATGTTAAAATGTTAGATTTTTATCTGAATTCTTAAACCTCTAATAAAACAGAAGATACATTTGAATCTGTCTTGTTCTCTGATCTTTTTTTTCTGTCTCTCCTCCTCACATCTTGTCTCATCTTCTCACCTCTCCTTCTCTCACCTTCTTACTCTCTGGTTTATTTTAGCACAATGTAGGTGTGTTGTTCTAAACTCGCTGAGCCTTTATTACAGCTCTCTCTCTGCTTGGAAGAGTGAGTCACCGGCGGTAATTCTTCACCGCACGACGCAGCTCGAGGACCGCTGACTGCCTCCCTGTTAATGGACCGCAGAGAACACAGAGACCTGTAGATTTATTAGAGCTGTGACTCATGTTAATGTTAAAGTTTCAAGTCTGTATAGTTATTGCAATCCACACATTTCTGCTCCGTACTGTAAGAGGCTTTTAAACCTCATTTTCTAGATGCATAACAAAATGAGCCCAATATATTTTCATATATTTTTTAAGTCAACCCCAACCGGTCTACATGTTTTGTGTTTTGTGGACTTGGAGAAGGCGTTCGACCGTGTCCCAAGGGGGGCCTTGTGGGGGGTTCTCCGGGAGTATGGGGTACCGGGCC